GGAGAGCTAAATGTTCTGAATCTATCACTCTGAGAGGTTTAAGTGGCATTGTAAGTAAAAGCTGCATTTCAAGTGATCTTTCCTAAAAGGACCTAAATCAAAAGCACTCCTTGTACCAGATAGGATAGTTATTGGGAGACAGATTTTCCCTTTAGCTATAAAATGTATTATTTTAAACAAGACACAATTGAAGAACAATGGCTCAAGATTCAGATTTTTTTTTCGGATTCATGATTTAAAAGTTATTTATACACGGCACCTATTTTGTACTCATCACATGCTTAAACACATGTAAAAGACAAAAATTTTAACTGAAGCAATCTTATTTTACATTTTGCAGGGAAGAGCAAACTAAAGTAGCGAGATTTTGTAACAATAATATTATTTCTGCGTTACATTTGCACCATATAATTTAATGCACATCACTTTATAAGGAAAAAGCATAAGGTAGCTGGCACTGAGCTTCTTCAAATAAATGAAGCTGTTTAACAATCTGAAATCTCTGATCAAAAATTAACTAAAAACTATGGTATAGCTCAGGAGTTTCCACAAGACCCGCACTTGAAACATTTTGGTCACATTAAGTCCCTAAAGATGTGGATCACTGATATTCTTGAGAAGGAAGGCTTTATATGAATATGAACAGAAACTGTGTACTTCTATTTCTTGCAGCACTCCATGCCAACTGCACCAAAACAAGCAAGCGGGAAGTCTGTCAAACCAGCAGCCTGCTGGCCTTATGCAACACACGTCTCAGCAAACACACTCTTCTGCTTGGGGTTTTTTTTACTGTACCAAAATCACTGCTTGTCTCTGGTGACACTACCTCCTCCGCTGGCGTCTCAAGTGGTACCAGTGGTTTAGGATACCTGGATGCTACAACAAGTTTTCAAAAGCAAAACAGCAATAATTCATTATTTAAAGTCTTCCAATCAATACTGGAGTGTCCACCAGCAAGGAAAGATCCTTTATAAATATTAAGACAGGATTTCTCTAGGTTGCACAACAATTTCACTCGAATGTTTGCAGGCTTTCCTCTGCAAAAAACACATGGCAAGGTTTCTGCATGTAAGCAGAGAAGTCAGACTAGAACCTGCTTTAGTTACACGAGCAAGTAAAATTTAAGAATACGGAAGCAAATCAAACTACAATAGCGAAAAAACCATGAACTTCAGAAAACAGTATCTTGCTGCAGGTGGTTCAGAGGTAGCCAGTTACATCTGACATTTTCAGAATAGTTTTACTATCAGTGACTAAGCACCAATGTTCCTGTTTATGACATTAAACCTCAGCCCCTAGATTATAGAACAGTTTGGGTTTGAAGGGATCTTAATGATCATCTAGTTCCAACCCCATGGGACACCTTCCACTAGACCAGGTTGCTCAAAACCCCATCCAACCTGGCCTTGAATACTTCCAGGAAAGGGGCAATTTACAACTTCTTTGGACAACCTGTGCCAGTGCCTCACTACCCTCACAGTAAAGAACTTCTTCCTAATATCTGATCTAAACCTACCCTCCTCCAGTTTAAAGCCATTTCCCCTTCTCCTATCCCTATATATCCTTATGAAAAGTCCCTCCCCAGCACTCTTGTAAACACCCTTTTATGTACTGGAATATGGTATAAGATATCCCCAGAGCCTTCTCTTCTCCAGGTTGAACAAACCAAACTTATTCAGCCGGGAGAACAGGAGCCTGAGGAGACACCTCATCATAGTCTGCAGATTCCCCAGGAGGGGAAGAGGAAGGGCAGGCACTGATCTCTTCTCTGTGGTCACCAGTGACAGGACTCAAGGGAATGGCCTGAAGTTGTGTCATGGGAGGTTTAGGTTGGGGATCAGGAAAAGGTTCTTCACCCAGAGGGTGGTCAGGCACTGGAACAGGCTCCCCAGGGAAACGGTCACAGCACCAAGCCTGACAGAAGCATTTGGACAATGCTCTCAGGCAGATGGTGTGACTCTTGAAAGTGTCCAATGCAGGGCAAGGAGTTGGACTTGATGAACCTGATGTGTCCCTTTAAACTCAGAATATTCTACGATTCTGTGATTCAGGAAGTTCACATGTTAAGGAAAATGACGAGTAGTGCCAGTGTAGCACTTTTCCTTCTGCACTGCCTTCATGAGAGGGCTCCATGACTTTGGGCAGGCGCTAAGGGGTTTATTTAAAAAAAAAAAAAAAAAAAAAAAAAAAAAAAGAAGTTTCAAAAGCAAAAAGAAGTAGCACATCTTTCCAGCTGAAACATGACATTCCTTTCACCACCAGATATTTTTGACTCAGCAGTGAGATTAGCCCTAGTCCTGGTGTACTCTGTGATGGTCTAAGAACATAAAGGGACTTACACAGGCAGGCTGGCAAGAGTTTGTCATTTTACCAGCTTGACAGGGCACTTCGAACCTGTGAATTAAATGCTTGCCAGCAGTTTGCCAGGAGACCTTTTCCTAGAATAGCAATTAAATACTAGAGTTAAAAAAGTTTCTTGACCCCTAGGTCACAGCAAGGGAGAGAGAGGGAGATGATCTTCCTCCACACACAGCATGGAGTTTGCCTGTGTATGTTGGGTCTGTAAAGGAGAGAGGCAGAGAGAACTGTCCCCACTGGGTGCCTTGGGACCTGTCAAAGTACAACAGCAAAATCAATTCCTCTTCTCCCAGCTCAACAGGTTGGGCAGTCCCCACAGGAAACCTCACATTTGCACTGTGATATCACTCTTCAAACAAGACAAGTACTTCCAGGAGGACTAAATTAAGCTTTGTTGTGTTAGCATAGATTAAGTTTCAAAAAAAAAAAAAAAAAGAGGTACTAAAATCTGAGTGGTTCTAAATCACCATGGCAGATAACTGGTTTGCTCATATTAGCAAGAAGCATCTGACTCATGCAACAAAGGGAATCTTCTTTACAGCAGAGTGACTAAAAACCTGAGTGAAATTCATTTGTCTTTTGTGACATTTGAATTCTTTTGAATTAACTTTTCTCTGTAAAGTTGTGGAAGTAGAGGTACATAGCTCAAACACTCCCTCAGCTACTCCAGTAAACTGGAGAGCTCATGAATTTAATACCAGATCATAAGCCAGAGAGGTTTCTTTTGACACCAAAGTAAGATTTTACCCAACAATGGCTAAAACCTTGCTAATTCTCTCAGAGATGCTGCCCCAGCTGTCAGCCTGACTGAAAGGTGGAGCCTTTTACCTGCACACTATTATTTTTTTTTTTTTTAACAAGAACAAGATGCAGCAACTTGAACTTACGAAAAGTTTTCTATCAGAATGTGCCGGTTTGGTCAGATTATTATGAATGGTATGACATACTAGTGCCTTCAAAGAGCATCTAGCAAGAGACTGCATTCTCCAAGACCTGTAAATCAAACAAAACTAGCTGTCAGGACTGCACTGCTATGGTGTCTCTGCATGTCTTCCAGTTAATACACAACCTCAATCCACAGAGAAACAAGAAATTCCACTTCAAAAAACCTTTTATTTAGAGATCTCATCACAAAAGTCTTCCATTTAAAATATAAAATACAACTGTCTGCTTTCAAGGAATTGTGTTCAATGTACATACATCATGTTAAAAATACCTACTTTATGTATTATATACACATACATATAGCATGTTTTTTATGTACTTGTACGCAAAAATAGGAAAACAGGAATTGTTTTCCTGTCTTTGCAACAGAAGATGGGAAAATAATGGATTCTCTTGCTAACAAGATCTGAGATTTCTTAGAGGTCCTAGACACCACCAGGTTAGTATTATTAATGAAAATCAGTTATAACTGGGCTCAAGAGTATTGTAATACAGCACAGATAAGACCAACAGTACCCTAAGATGCAATAAAGGCACAGCAGACATGCCAAATTCAGTATTCTTACCTAAAAAAAGTCAAACCCTTTCATATTTTTCCTCCTCGTCACCGGGTTTGCTGCACTGCTTACGAGTGCAGCTTTCATGAATCATCTCCTATCATACACTGAAAACTAAAGGTAGAAACCCCAAATATAAGCCCCTTAAGAAAGAAGTTACTTCTTCTTTCTAATATCTCTCCTGCAAATGAAATATTGCTATAGAAGGCTGGAGGCATTAAATCATTCTCCGTACTGCCTGTAAGATTTTACACATTCATCTCCACCATGAAAGAAAGAAACAACTTTAAGGAAGATTTGACTGTTGCCAACAAAACTAAGCCTTGATTATGGGGCACCACTGCTACAAACAGGAAGGCAGTACTATTAGATTTAAAATTACCTGGCCTACTTGCTACTTCAGTGTTCCTGTAACTATGAAACAGAAATATACAAATTACTTGGATTCAACATGTCCACATGTATCATCTTCAACTACTGTGGCTGGGTGTGGCTGACAGGTTTACAAGAACACAAGCTAGAATTTTAAAACTTTGTTTCAAATCTCTTCCTGGGAAAATGGGAGACCTTATTTAGCTTTCCAAGATTGGAAAGAAAAAAAAAATACCGACAAACTACAATGCAGAAGGAAAACTAAATCCAAGTGAAAAGGATTCAGAGCCGTCTTCAGAAAGAACAGATCGGTGATGTTTTGACTACACTTTAAGATAGTAAGGTACAGATTATAGTCGAAAGCAGGACAGTTTTCAAAACATTTTCTGAGAACTGTTCTATCAAGATTCAGTTTCACCATCTTCCCCCTAGGTTCTATGCAAAACACATCTATTAATTCACCTCAGGCTGTCAGCTCTCAGCCATCACATGCTCACAGATAGAGCTCCGTCTACTGATGGACTTAAACAAACAGCAGAATCCCAGTGTTTATTAATAAGCTACACGGTTTAACCGACTGCTAGTGCCCAGCATCTGGAAGCTCTATAAACACCCAGGTAAGGCAGGTGACAAGGGGATGGCAGAAACATGTTCACAAACCTCTCCCCACCTACAGTTTTTGTGACTACGGCACGAACAGATGTTTTAGGTTTCAAAAACACTTCAGAGACTCACCTAACTTAAAGGTTACAGCTACGACTCACCTACCTGAGGACTGTCCTTCAGCGTAGCGGCCGCAGCAAGGGATGGGTTTCCCCGCAGCCTCTGCCATTAGCGGAGGCCACAGATAGTGTGTCCTGTCATATTTCGCGCTAGGGCAATTAGTTGATGGAACTGCATCCTTCTGGTGGTAGGCCTGGGAATGGGCTGAGGGACTTGCCCCATTTGGTTCTTGATGTGCCCAGGTCTCCCCATATTGCTGACAGCTTCCCCTAGCTGATATGGGGTCTGTTAGGGCACAGAAGAGGTAGTGAAGGAAGAAGGTCAAAACTTAACCCAGTAAGGACTGTGTTATGAAGGGTACGGACTAAGACCTCACTTTCCATAAAGAATTATGAAAAGATCACAGGTACAAAACAAGTTTAAGCACAGTGGCAAGGCTGCATAGGCATTTCATGATCAAGGAGAGACTGATTTTTCAGACTCAAACAGGACATAGGAATTACTCAGTAGGAAGAGAAGGGAATTTGAAGGCTGCATTTGGATTACTTTAATTGGAAATCAACACAAAAGTACAACTAGCAACCTCAGCTAAAGAATCAGCTACAGGAAGCTACAGCATGCTGCCACTGAATGAGAAGATTGAGAAGAAACCCAGCACCTCTAAAACCATTTGACTTGACTGAACTCATGAGTTGTAAAAATCAAAAGTGACACTAAACGATCAGAGAAAGTACTTGGAAAGCAAGGCACAAATACCTCTCCCCTCATCTCCTCCTCACACTCACAACCAGCACACCTATTCAGATCATTCCTAGACAATCATCATTTCAACAACAGGAAAGAGCAATCACAAAAAATATTATCTAAACATAATAAAGTATTTAAAGTACAGTATACAAACATGTAGCTAAGAAATTCTCTAATTTTCTTTCCAGAACAGCCCTTCTATCCACTTTCTCTTCTTCTGGCACTCCTTAGTGTTGAGCATGATGATACGTATTTGACAACCTTCAAGAGCCTGGCTCTACATTCACTGCCTTTCTTAAAATAAAATCTGAATTCTGTCAATATCAATCCTCCACAGAAAACAGCTATGGGCAATAGTTTCAAGATAAGTTTTTTCTCCAGTTTCTATTCAACAGACTTACTAGAAGCCCTCCTAGGTTATGATTTTTCTTTTTCCACAACGGAAGACATAATAATTTCTTAGAGTAAAAGCTGACAGTTGTTATCATGCTGCAGTCTGGTAGAAAAAAAAAAACCAACAAACCACAAACCCATGAATGGAGCTGGCTAAAAGAAAAGGTTATCTACAAAAAAGCCTTATCAAGCTACCAGATGGGCAGATCAAGAATCTGACTCCAGGGACTGAGGTCCGATGGCATTGCAACACTTTGTGCAGCCTTTACCTGCAAGACTACAGAGCCCACAACTGAGATGTTGCTGAAACGATCTCTCCAGTGAGATCAACACTTACAGTTTCAGGCACAAGTGAACTGCAATTTCTACTAGTGGAATAAATTTGCAGTTTACTAGTAAGATCCCTTGCCGTAAAGTCTCTAAACTTAAAACAATGCTTTTAGTAATTCACGCTTCTAAATCCTGAATCATCGGAAAGTCAGAGTATGCTACAGAAATAGACTTTCATATTATAACTAACAGCATCTGAGCAACAAGATATTAAATAGGACCATCTGTTGATTTATCTCTGTATAAACCTTGAGGCATTATATTGAAATACATTTTAAAATCTCATTTTGATATCCACCACATGATTCTCTGGGTACAGAGCTTCCTCCTATTTCACCTGAGCAATAACTGATGAGACAAACTCACACAAAAACCTCACAGCAAGAACCCTTCAGAAGCTGAGAAAGATTTACTTGGGAAGAGTATTAGTTGTTAGTATTCAAAAGTTAGTGTCAACTTACAGCTCAAAGCACAATACCCTCTATGTTGGAAAACAAACACAACTGACTCACTCGCTGCAGAACAAAAGCAATGCTCCCAAAATGAACCATTGTTTCTCTGACTAGAAACACTAGTGTTTATATGCAAGTGTGCTATAAACATAACCAAAGAGGTACCTGAAAGGTTTCTGTCTCTTCACAAAAGCAGCATTTCTATAGCTGACCCCTGGACCTGTTCTCTGCCCACCCAAGACTTCTTTCAGACAACTACAGAAGAGCCACCAAGCACAGAAATGCCCTTTCCAAGGGCACGCCACTATCAAAGTCAGAAAGAGGCCTAGATCAAATGCACACTGATCTCTTAAGTACCTGCTATCATCTTCGCCGCAATAGGGATTGTACATTACAGCTAAGGATCAGAACCAGGAGTAAGAAGGTTGTAATTAAGAGGATTTGGTTTTGTCACGTTTTGATTTGTTTAAGGAACAGTGTCAAGTTGGCAAGAACAGTTGGATCAGAGGGGGAAAAAAATCACTGTGAATTACTTTTGTTGGCGTTGCGTAGCACCCTATTCAGAGATACAACTGTAAACCTCCCCGCACAAGAACCAACACTTCCACGAGGCAGTGCCGGCAGCTCTCCGTGCGGGGAAGTGTAACTCATGAATGAGCTCCCCGAACAGCAGCCGCCCATCGCCTCTTCAGAGGTCTGAAATCACTTTACTGCTGCCCTGGTGTCAGGAGGGTTTTGTGAGACACACTTTCCTACACCCATCCCGAAACAATGGCCACGCGCGCCCCTCCGAAACATCGGGGGAGACGACAGACACACTGAGGATTTGGCACGCTGGGTCCTCTTAAACTTCTGAAGGTGCTGCGGATGCTTCTGGAAACTAAATTTCAGGTCGTGTGCCCCATTTATATCCGATTAGGGTAACACACATGGGCGTGCACCTCTCGGTGCCTTGTCCTGCTGGAGTTTCCTATCGCTCGAAGGAGTCGCTTCGGCGAAGGCAGGAGGAGCCCCAAATTTCGGGGGCTCAGTCTCAGCTCCCGGCCCTCCCACCCCCGCCGGGCTCGGGGCGGGTCGCGGCTCACCTTGGGCGATGGCGATGGACTCGAAGCGGTGCAGCTCCCGCAGCAGGCAGCTCCGCTCGGTGGAGTGCAAGCTGTAGATGAAGTCGCGGGCCCCCTGCGCCGTGTTCAGCGCCTCCATCGGCTCCTTCTTGGGATGGGTGCCGAGCGCCCGCGACCCCCGCGGCAGGAGCAGCCCCTCGGCGCCGCCGCGCAGGCTGCACAGGCGGCGGCGGCAGCAGCACCGCGGGCCCCGCAGCGAGCCCAGGCAGGACCAGGGCACAGTGGCGGCGGCGGCACCGGCGGGGCCCCCCGGCCGCCCCAGCAGCAGCGCCGCCCGGCCGAGCCACGCCGACATGGAGCCGGGCAAGGGCGCGGCGCTCGGGCCGCCAGAACCGCCCGCGGCCGAGTCCCCCCCCCGGGCCGCGCTCCCGCGGCCGCTCCGCCGGTGGGGCCGCGCCAGGCACCGCCCGCCCAGCGCCCGCCGAGCCCCCGCCCGCAGCGGCGGCGGCGCCGCCCCGCCCGAGCCCCGCCGGGAGCCGCGGCCGCAGGGAGGGGCCCGGGCCAGGGGGCGGCCCCGCGCAGGCGCCGCCCGGGCGGGCTGAGGGGAGCGGCGGGCGCTGCCTTCGGAGCTCCGGAGCCGGCGGGGCTCCCTCCCCAAACTGCTCGTTACATCTCTCGCTGAGGCACCTGTAAGCCCACGGGGCTTCTCCGCAGCGCCAGCTCCGGCAGCTCAGCGGAGTAACAAACGAGGCTTTGCTCGCCTTTCCTTTTTTTCCAGGCCCTTGCCTCAGAGTGTTGCGGTGTTGCATCAGCCAGTTTTAGGTTTAGTGTTTTGCCTGCATAGAGCGTTTGTGTTCTTCGTGTTCTTTTTAATTAATCGCAGGTATTGTGCCTGACCCACACGGAACAGTTATTTTAAAAAAGTAATCACATTCAGGACCCAATTCATGTCTTGAGGGAATGGAGGATGCTTTAAAACCCAAGGTTTGGTTTTAAACCTCACTTAGCTTCAGTGGTACATGGACCATTCATGGGTGTTAGTACACAATCCTTTGCTGCTTTGTCAAAACACTTTATTCAAATTGTGTTAGATTTTGTAATGAGACTGCAAAGAACCTAAATAACCACAAGGGACCATATTATATGCCTCTCTCATTATATGCCTGGCTCATTTAATACTAAGGTAAGTGACTTCTGAAGGCACCCAAAATATATTACTGTATCTCCAGATCTTTAATGCCAAAGGTACCAGACTTCTGGATGTCCATCCAGCTGGTTTCTTCCACCAGGGGGGATCTGCTGCCTTCTTGGAGGGAGGCAAACAGAAAACTTTAACTTCACACAAAAAGCAGCATTTTCTCCCCAGTTCCACTGCTGCAGATGTATAGTATAGTATAAAGGCAAAGATCTCATGATAAACAGAGGTGTCTTATCTAGGCTATGCTTTCAATATTATGGGTATTTACGTATAGTATGTGTGCTGTAGAGAGGGAGCAGAAAGTGAGTGCAGAAAGGCAGAAAATAAGTCATAAAGGCCTGCATATGTGATGTTATAATTCTCACCCTACAAGTGAAATAGTGGAGATAGATGAGTGTTAGCTACTGTTTCCAGTTCAATGCGTTTTTTGCCATGCCCCTAATAGAGCCTGCCTCTGAGAGGAGAGATTTTGTACAGTCCTGTCTCTCTTTCTTCCAGTGCATACTCCTGATGCAGTCACCAAGTCTTTGAACTGTGCTTGTCTTCCCAGGCACTTTATTGAAAAAGTGGTATCTTCTGCTACCCTTCAGGGGCACTGTGGCTGTCAGTAATAGTTTTCAGTCCCAGAGATCTGTAAAAACAGAGTTCGCAGAACTGTTCAAAGATGCTGTCAAAATTTTGGTGATCAGATTGCTTTTTCAGTAAAAATGCATTGCTTCCATGCAGAAAGGCAGGGCGTGCAAAGGGACTACCAAACACCTGAAAAAACACACCTTAAAAAATAGGGAGAAAACAAACTCAAAACGTTGCAGGTGTTTTAAGACACTAAAGGACAAAGAACAGGGAGTTTCTTATGTAGCCTTTGGGCATTTGATGTGTAGGAATATGAACTGTATAGAGAGGTGCAAGGACATTATTTAAGTAGACATGATACAATACTATTATGAAAATAGAAGTCATTGCTTGCGTATCGAAATAGAGATCAGGGTTTACCAGACTGTAAACCCTTCTGTGGGCAACAGCTGTGGCTTCTGCTTTTCCAAGCCTTTAAACTGCATTGAGCAAATTGGAATAAAAATGTAATTGGAGGGACTATTCTGCAAGGACAGGAAATTAACTAAATAACCTAATAGTTTTTTCCATAATTCTTTGTTGGAACTTTTATTTTGTGAAAAAGTGAAATTGAAGCCATTGGCTAAACTGACACTTTAATTAATCAGACTGTCTATTTAGCTCTGTTCAGCAGGTGGTGTAGAGTAACTTTCATTAGTCCCTGACACTCCAGCAGAGCTTGAGAACCTGCTGAAATACATATTTCCCACAATCTTCTGAAAAATGCAGAAGTTTCCCTTTATTTTCTTAAGTTTTTTGCTGGTAGGTAATTTTCTCCTAATATGATTTTGTCCATGAGTGACTAACCTAACAAAGCTGGTTTAAAAACCAACTGACAGGGCTAGGAGGGAATTGTTAAAAATATTACACAGAAAATTTGGCAATGTTCAGCCCTAAAAGCTAGAAGAAAGTTTATGTAGAAATCAGCAGAAGAATGCCAACCATCTAGGAGAGAATTTCTACAAGACCTTTTAGGGACTACAGAGTTGAGAGACAAATCTTTTTGTAGAGATTGGTAGGAAATACTTTGCAGCTGTCATCCCATGTAAATATTGGGTGCACATTTAATAACTATATTCTTAGGTGGTGGAGCAATAGAATATTATTCACGAGGAACTTTTTATTAAGGGAATAATGTGATTTCTATACCCAGTGTAAAGGTAAGTATTGATAGCTAAGGTAGGAGCAAGATTTAAAGGCTGATAATTGTTTGATAACATAAATTGCAACTTTGCACAATTTATGTTTCACCAGTTAAGTACTATAGTTTTATATTAAGTACTTTATTTTGACCTATGCTGGTCAAAATTTTTAGCAGACTGGAAGATAAGAAGCCCCAGAGAGGAAGGGACAAGCTACTTCTCTTTTGCCTCATGTTTCTGAAAAAGAAGTGGCTCTTCTGATCCTGCTAGCCCAGCTAGGGGCTGACCCTACAATTGTTTGTGTGCTGGCAGGTGGAGGAATCCACAGAGAATGAAACAAAATGCTCACCGTAAAAAGGAGCTCTGCAATATATTCACCACCTGCTAAAATTCAAAATTCTATCTACAGTCTAAAATATGAATATCAGACAAAATGAGGAGGTTAAATTATCATAATTTATTGAAGCAGAGCAAAAATTAGGAAGATCTTGTCACTTAGGAATAAAATAAGAACTTACAGTAATCTTAGAGTCATAATCACAGAATCATAGAATGGTTTGGGTTGAAGGAACCTTAAAGAACATCTCATTCCAACCCCCCTGCCATGGGCAGAGATGTCATTCACTAGGCCAGGTTGCTGAAGGCCCCATCCAACCTGACCTCAAACACTTTCAGGGATGGGGCATCCACAACTTCTCTGGAAGTAAAGAACTTCTCTGAGTAAACAACTTCTTCCTAATATCTCATCTAAATTTCTCCTCTTTTATGTTAAAACCACTCCCCCTTGTCCAGTCATGATCTGCCTGTGCAAAAAGTCCCTCTCCCCTCTTGGGAACTTGTTGGAGATTAAATACAAAGAGAGGATCCTTCTGACCATCACCATTTTCCTCCTTGTATACCTTGTAACATCATATGCATTATTATATTGATAAACACTTATAAATGATTTCTAGACAATTTTTGGCCTAGGACTCTACTGGCTTTGGTGGGGACAGAGTTAAAGTTCTTCACAGTAGCTGGTGTGGGGCTGCGTTTGGGATTTGTGCTGAAAACAGCGTTGATAACACAGGGTTGTTTTAGTTATTGCTGAGCAGTGCTTACACAGCGTCAAGGCCTTTTCTGCTACTCGTCTTGCTCATGTAAATCATTCCATGTTTTTAACATTCAGGAAGCAGACAGGCATATTGTGTGGTGTTTAAGATCCCCATCTTAAACAAAGATGGGGAATGGGGATCATGGCAGACAATCACTGAAGTAAACTCCCTCTGGAGCACTGTGCCTGAAAGGGATCATATGTTTTTTGGCATTATAAATACGGGGTTATCAAATACAAGATGTGAAGTCACAGGTTTTCTGTCTTTCAGGGTAAATGCTTTTACAATATTGTATCCAGCAATAGTGACCTCAGTCTGAGATAAATTGCATGGAGCTCAAAAAAAGGCTGTGAGAGTCATTAAAGGTTTGGAAAAATGCTTGTTAGTAAGAGACTACAAAGATCAATTTATTTTCTTTATTTACTGGAAGTTTTTGAGTTTAACATAAACAGTCTCTACGTAACTTGATTTATAAAAGAGCATTTTCAGCACACAACAAAATTATACAGCCATCAATGTATATCAATGCATGGCAAGTTTTGATAAGGAAACTAGACAGAATCAGAGTACTGTAAAAAATTTTAGCAATGAAAATAATTAAAAAGCGGAATAATTTCTACAGGTTAATTTTCTAAAAGGTGGGATCTGTTTCTTGGAATAATTAAGTGCAGTCTTAGCTTAGACAAGTTCTTAGCTCATCTTTTGACTTAGAAGAGCCAAAAGTAGGTGTTTACTGTAATTCCTCCCACATTTGTAATATATGGATGCACAAGATTTCTTCGAATGAGTTCTGGAATTCTTCACACTAAACATGATGGAAAACTTTGCCCTTTGTTCTCCAATATTTGTGTTCTATTTGGAAAAGAGTAAAGATCAGTACAACCTTTGAGTTAAAAGAATGATTGTGTTAATAAATTGGGTAAGGTGAGAGGCCTGAACTGTTCTAGTGAACCACATTAAAATGTATCGGGGGAAAGTATGAAAGAAGATAAATATTCCAAAGAGCATAGGGCATGTCAGAGAAAAGCAGTTGTATAAAGCTCCGACTGACATCAGGTGGTACTGGAACATCCTTCATCTAACCACTGGGGTAGCATATCATGCCAAGGATATTGTACCTTGGCCTTTCCTTTGAAGCATGGAAGAAAGATAAAGGTCTCAAAGCATTAGAATGAGCTGGGTTAGGACCTTGGAGACATCCACCACTTCGTGGTGTAAAATGGACAGGATGACCTTTAGCGACCCCATCTCGCTGATGCTTGGTTCCCTTATGCTTGATAGCACGTTGTCAATGCCATTATCCCTGCTGCCCCTTGATCCTGTTTACCTCTATTGA